TCTCGAAACCACATTTTTTTATCGGGCGAAGATTTTTCTCAGAAACTATAAGAGATATTGACTTGAATCTTTGCGCATTTTGTTCCTTATTAAATTATTTGGAGCTTCTCCCACTTTCAGCCAAAAATATTAACATTTAACATTGTTTGAAGCACCTTAAAGTTGCAAAAAAGCGGGCTAAAAATCGCCTGTTTTTTCATATGGCCGCCATTTTGTTAATTTGCAAGATTTTTTGCTGCCAACGGGAGAAGCTCCAGAGAATCTTATGCAGATTATTAATTTCATCACGAAATCTGTTTCAGATGAAGCCGTTCCAGAGAAAAGTCTTCGCCCGTCCAGGCGTTTGCGGCGAACAGGGGTCTGTTTGTCGCCATTTTGTGACGTCAATCATGTCTTTTTTATGTCGAAAAAAATTTATTTGTAAACTTTAATGTTCAATAAACAAGAATCCCAAAGAGTTAGGCGCATTACTATTCATTTTCCTTGAAAAAAAATTAATTGAAAAACAGGCCGAAAAGAGGCAAAAGATTGGGAATACCCCCTTAAGAGTATTATACCCCGATCACATTACAGTCACGTAATATAGGCTGTCTTGCAATGAGCACTCATACATAGGATTTCCAGTGAAAACTAGATGTATGAGTGCTCATTGCAGGACAGCGTATATCACGTGATATACGCTGTAATGTGAACGGGGTATTAGAGTTACCTCTATGGTATTAATCTCTTAAAGTTAATTAAAAATTAACTATTTAATTTGACCTTTGACTTAAAAACCTTAAAAGTTGAAACTGAGATATCATAGCAATATGGAGAAAGCTAGATGAAAATGAACAAAAAGTTTGGTTTTCCCATAGTAAATCCCATATACACTTCAAATGGTTTGTGCGAAGTCAGTTTCTTACCAAATAAGCTCATATTTTGGGAGGCTGATCAGAACCCGATTTGAAATCGTTCGAGCACTGTGGATCGAAAATTTCAAATTTTGCGTCACTTTAGTGTGACAAGCACAATAAAGTCGAGAAAATGTCCAACCCGAAAGATTCTCTCGCCGGACCGGAAATCGAATCCGCCGCCTCCGACTTGGTAATACCGTGCCTTTACTGACTAGGCAATGAGGGCCGTAAGCCGCACATCCATGGTGGATAGATGCTCGGGTTGGCGAAGCATTTCCTCTATCCCCGTGCCAGTGTTCGCGTCGCACCTCCTTACTTTTGTATTGTCGGATTGACAACATTGCACAGTTCACTATGCTATGGGCTATTCTCCGAAACGAAGCATTTCCGTGACTTAATTAACAACTGATCCGCACAATCTAACTTTTTGTCAAAGTTTCACTCTAGAACTTGACATCTTCAACAAAATAAAAGTAAACACCCAACAAACAAGTTGAGTTGATCAACAGCTGAAAAAGCTTGTTTTTGCCTGAATAAACTCTCATTCAACATTAAATGTTTTTATGTTACTTCATACGCGAAGTTAGCGATTTTCAGAGTTGGTTGGAAATGCTAACATGAAGCTTTAGTGTGATTATTTATTAGCTAGAGAATGATCTTTTAGAAGAGGGTAGGTGGATAGTTCCGTTAGAGTACGGCAGTATGAAAATTGAATAGAAGTTGAAAATGAGCGAAGGGTCATTAATGCGACAGTTTTTAAAGATAGACGCACATCTTTTACCTAACCCGTACGTAATAGTATGTCTCCAAGTCTACAGGCAAAAAATGTGCTTCCCTTTTTTGCTCATAAAATGACTGCGGCTGTGGAATAGTTCTAGCGACGTTTTCATCACTACCTAAAGCCCCACGTTGCGAGAGCGTTTCCAGTCGATGGTGTGTTATAATGCAATTCTTCTTTACCCAACTATTGTGTTGCTCCTCTCGTCAATAGTTGGGTAAACAAGAATTGCATTATAACACACCATCGACTGGAAATGCTCTCGCAACGTGGGGCTTTAGGTAGTGATGAAAACGTCGCTAGAACTATTCCACAGCCGCAGTCAGTTTATGAGCAAAAGAGGGACGCACATTTTTTGCTTATAGACTTGGAGACATACTTCAACTCTCCGCGTACATCGTACGGGTTAGGCAAAAGATGTGCGTCTATCTTTAAAAACTGTCGCATTAATGGCCCTTCGCTCATTTTCAACTTCTACTCAATTTTCATACTGCCGTACTCTAACGGAACTATCCACCTACTCTCTTCTAAAGATCATTCTCTAGCTAATCAATTATCACACTAAAGCTTCATGTTAACATTTCCAACCAACTCTCTCATTAAATGTTTGTTGGGCAACTCTTCTGAAGCCTGAAGTTGAATTTGGGGCCTCCCTTAGCTCAGACGGTAAAGGCGTAGCTACAAAGCAATACCATGCTGGAGGTGGCTGGGTTCGATTCCCGGTCCGGTCTAGACATATACGAGTTGGAAAATTTCTTGAATTCCCTGAGCATAGAGATAGAATCCCAAGTAACATTGCAGGTTTTATCGCGGTTTTGTAGCATTCTACAAGTCTAAATCATGGTCTACAGAACCCTCATACAACCAAAATTGTTACTTGGGAATGATTGTACTTGCCACACAATTATACTAATGCAAAAATGGTAACAGGCATCGAAAGCTCTCCATTAATAACTGTGGAAGGGCATATAGAACACTAAGTTGAGAGAACGCAATAAGCTAATATACGATAAGCAATAAGCTTGAAATGCGAAGAAGAAGAAGCAGAAGAAGAACTCTTCTGAAGACGTCAAAATTCCACAGTCTACTGTTTTCGAGTTTTCTGGAAAAAAATGAATACATTTTTTTTATCTAGTTCGATTATTTGGAAAGCTCAATTGCGTTAGCTTTACGGAGCCAATAGTTCAGTGTTTCGTTATTTTTTCTCATGAAAATGCGAGAGTGTCCAACGCAATCCTAAGAGGAAGAGGAGACAACCGGCTTCTTTTTGTCTGTGACGTGTTCTTCTTCTCTCGCGGAAACGACCGTGCAAAAACTTTTTTATTATGTGCGACGTAGTCGACTGTCAACATACAAGAAAATAGATTCCCTGTTGTAAAAATTCTTGCGTTTCTATACGATTATACCCGACCAATCAGATGCTGGTTCGCGTTTGACAGAAAATTGGTTCAAAAAGGTCCCCGTATTGTCTCCTGTAAATGCATTCTAGCGGGACAAAACTGAAAGCTCCGAAACGACGCATTTCCATGACTTGATGTCTTGGGCTAAGTTGCTCACAAAAATAAGGACAATTTTTTTCATATAAACAGACAATTCGATACACAACCGCATAGATGACACCAAAATTTAAGTTTTTTACCCTGACATTCTGGAGATGTTTGATGTCTTCGACAAAGCTGTTTATCTTATCAAAATAAACAACTCTTTCAGGACGAGGCTCGGTAACTTAGTGGTTACCGTTTCTGGGAGATCAATCCCAGGCCTGTTCCTTTCCTCGTATTCACCACTGCCATGCCCAATTCTCTATCCGCATTAGATTTAAATAAACAAATCTACTTCACCGATCGCATCAAATTCGGAAGGGAAGTAAAGCCGTTGGCCCCCGGTCCATGAGAGTTGATGGGTCGATAGGTAGGGTCCAGGTGTGGGAGCTGCCTTCATGGCGTCGGTAGCATTGGTACTCAGTAACAAACAAGATCGACGAAAAACAAATCAAGAAAAAAATGTAATTCCTCTACCTTATTTGCTTATCTTTAACGCGTATTTGGTCTACAATGTGCCGACTTGTTCAGTGTCTCAAGTATTAGTACAAGACACTAAGAAAGTCTGCACATTGTAGACGAAATACGCATATCTATCAAGGAGCTATTTCATTTCACATGTTATTTCTGAGTCAGCTTGGTACGTGAGAAGCATGACCAAAAGAAGAAATGATGCAGGGTTCTTTACGAAATTATACAATCATTCTGGATATAAGAGAATTCCCAGAAGCTTCATAATATAAAAGCTAAAAGTGTCTATATTTATATGAACTCTAACACAATACTCATTAGATTGGTTCAAATCATCGATGTTGCTCCACCAAGCTTAATAGATTTCAAATTAGGTCCTGATAATTCTAATGATATATGGGAATTACTATGGGAAAAGTGAACATTTTGTTCTCATCGTTCCTTTTCAATAATGATCTGCGGAAAAGTTTGCTATCTGTACTAATGTGAAAAAAATTTCTCAGCTGTAACTTTGCTGAAGACATTTGTGGATTGAACGTCAGGATAATTAGTTTGAAAGATGATATTATTCTCACATGCTCTATAAACTGCTCAACAGGCAACATTGGTGTGCTTGGCGCGAAGAATATAACAAAAAATCCAGACTACTGTGTCATAAGTGCCAAATGCAGTGTTGCCATGAATACAGTCGATTAATCGTATCAAAAAGTTATCGGTTTCGAAAAAAAATAACAACTAATTACCTTTAAGTCTAATCAAAAAGTGGTATTGAGCAAAGTTGTTGCTGATAAAATTTCACATATGAGCAGCTAGCAAGCTTTTCCAAAAAATATTATGACGAAGTGCTAGGACATTGAGAACATGAAGTTCACTATATTAATTCCCACATAAACTTCAAAGGGCCAGTGCAGTATGCGTTCGCATCATCGCGAGAATGATCAGGACCTGATGTAGAATGAATTGAGCCTATTGAAGCAAAATCGATATTTTGAACCACCCTAACACTCATATGTCTAGCATGATTTTATAATTCCTCAGGGGACCCTCTACTTAATTGCTCCATTTGGTCAACAATTTCATGCTTCACGTACCATGGCTTCGCGTGATTGCAAACCCTGCTAGTTGATAACGTCTTTGAAACGAGTAATTATGAACCGAGAACAATGTCCATAACGAAGATCTAACCGGCAGGCAGCATAAAACCTGCTGCCAGTAACATAACAATGGCGTGCGAATAATTTGGACCTGTGCAAAACGACGATGCCCTTCAAGGAAATGTGATACCCTCCACGGTTTTGAATGAACCAACCACAGACTTTAGCCAATTTCGAAGATCCGTGTATTATTTTCAGAATTTGTTTTGCTCTATGCCTTACTAACAGGAGAAAATGCAGAAAAAAATGTAAATAAAAAGGAAAACTACGGATTGCTAGAAGTTTTTCATATACCTATACATAAAAATGGGGGGGACGAAATCAACAACATTATGCAGGGAGCGAATAGCCTGATCTAGATTTCTGTAATTGTGTTAACCAAGTATTTCCAAATAAAATATACGGCAAATATACGGTGCCTTATTCTACGTTTTTATCATATTTGCAGCGGGCAAGACATGCGTCTTTTTAAAGATGACCGTGGCCATCGTAGGTACGAGGATCTTGTCCTTACACACATCCAGCTGTCCAATTTGCTTCGGCTGCTGTGTTTATTTGTTCTACTTTGATAAACAGTTCATAAGTTCTATGTTTGTAAAGTGGGATAATAGTGCAACCGATTATTGGTCTTCAAAATCGTTCCAACGCAATTGCTGATTGTAAACCAATCGTGCACACTGCAACCAACATGAACTGGTAACATAATTGGATTTTCCTACACCACGAAAACGAATTTCCCTTAAATTTTCAATCAATAAAATTACAAAAACAAACATTTCCTACTTGGCTGTATTGAAGAAACAAAACAGCCGTATAAAATTTGCCCATTTACGTTACTTATCTTACTCAAAAGCGTGCCTTACACTATGAAGGAATTGAAAAAGAACGCTCGACTATGTAAAACGTTGCTATTGTAGCCGTTGATTGCAAAACTCTCACGAACGATCGACCACATGCGTGCGGATACAATGTCTGCTGGGGAAAGCGATTTAATCAATAATTATTTAGTAGCTTTACTGCTGATAATGGTAAAGGCTTTCCCAAAAAAAAAACATACTTCTTAACTCAATTTAGCAGACGTTGTTGCATTCGCTCGCTCTAAAAATCCTTCCGAATAACATTCATACAGAGCAACGCACTTACCCATAACAATTCAACTTTCATCGTCTCACTATCATGCCGGTTATCCTAAACGATTCCCTAAGACTAATCTACAAACTTCATTCTTATCGACGAATCATCGGTTTTGGAGAAATGTTGTAAACTTGAAGATATTTGTCTGTTGTAAGATTTGATCGTACCCATTTCTATATCAATATGTTGTGTTCATTTGTGTGTTTGGTTTCCGTTGTATGTCTGTGTGGTTTTGTGGCGAATGCGTAAGCATATTCATTATTCACGAGTTTCACCTTAGGTCAGTAGTTCGCCTTCGTTGTTAACGTGCGCGTTAAGCTCGCCATTAAACTGCAGCAAGCAGCCGACAGCACCGAAATAGCCCTCGTGCTCGAGGAAGAGCGCCTTCAACGTACCCTTCGACCAGTAGTCCATGGCGTAGGCAAGCAGCTTCATCGAGATGGGATTCACCCGCAGGAAGTTTCCCACGAATACCACCTGTATGCGTCGAGATAAGAAGCGACATTTATTGCGGGGGCTCTTTGTGACTGAAATTGCAACATCATTCACTTACCCGATCGATTTTCTCGTTGCTTGCACACATCCTGGCAATCGAGCCGATATTGTTCGTTATCGTAACCAGGGTTGCATTGGCGAGATCTTCCCTCGATACGCTTGCCCTCCGCTCGGTGAGGTTCATCTGACCGAAGCTATTTAGTGTAAGCAATAAGAATCGTTACCATTATTAATCAGAATACTTATTCCAGCTGAAATGTACCTGGCAGCCACCAGATCTCCGGGCAGTCCGAACCGTTCATAGTCCCCACCGTAGATGTCTTTCACCAACTTGTCCACCCGCGTGTGGTCACCCTTCGTGGCAAGCTGAATCGCTTCCTCGAACGTCGTGCACCCCGTCAGCAGACAGCACAAACCCAGGAATGTTCCACCACCCAAACTGGTACCGGAGATGCGTTTGTAGTTGTCCGGTCCCCGAACCGCTAGCACCGATACGCCCGATCCCACATTCACCAGAATGAACGGATACGGTTGACTGAAGTCGAACTTCATCTTTGAACTTACACTGAAAACAGTAGCACAAAACATTAATTGAACACTAGAATAGTGCATCGACTCACCTAATATCACTAGCATTCTCCCAGTAGTAGCACTCACACGGATTGTGCGTCTCGGTAAACAGTATTCCCTTGATCAGGGCGTCCAGTTCGTCGAACTTGGCCAGCTTCATGTTGACCTCGTATTTGAAATTATCCTCAAACTTGAACGCGCCGCCCCCCGTCGCACAAACCGTCGTCACCAGCTGGGCCATGCCCTTCCTCTTGGCCAGGGCCAGGAATTTGTCCATCTCGGACGTGGGAAACCGGATGAAATGTAGCGACCCCCGTCGGCCTCTGATCTCCACGTCATCCATCTGGAGGTGCATGTCTCGGTGGCCGGTCCGCCCGTAGGCCGAATGTTTCGTCAGGTACCGCCGGATGTTGCGCAGGATTTTGGCTTCCTGATCCAGCTCGCCCGGTGTGATGTCTTTCGGTTCGAAGTACACCAACTTCGTTAGGGTGCCGCCGATGTCCATGCCGAACCATGGCATCGCTGGAAGGAGAAAATGCAGGAGTTTCCGTTAAATTTGATTCCGTTTCGGTTTGAGACAGTGCGGGAAGATGGACATTTTGTTAAATTGAGTCATAACTCATCTCTATTTCGACCAATATCGGGCGAAAAATTTTATCGCTGGAAGGAATCACTGTGAACCGAGTTGACGGCAAAGGAATAATGGTAATTCGGTAGTTGCATAAGCTCCAAGGCTCGGTGGAATTTCAAACTGATCGTAATAGTGGAAGGGGCATTTTGAATAACGATACGGAAAAACTGGACCTTCTTCCATTTGCATGAAACTGAAAATTGTTTGTTAGGGGCAATAATTCACATTTTTTGTTAAAATTCGGCCATTTTGGATCTTGTAAATTTTACAAATTGCGTCTTTGAAATTTCTCAAAAAATTGTAGCACGGAAACGGAACTTTTGATCGGAATGACGTCTGACACACAAAGTTGTTGGGGAAAATAATGTTTTCTGGGAAACATATAGGGGAAATGGCTCTAATGTTGGCCTATGTATCTAAGATTGGGCCCATCGCTAAAAATCAGCTATTTATCAATTTTATCTAAATGAACGCGGTCGGTCGGGACGGTCCTAATGGATATTTTTGGTCGCTATTGAAAATTTAGTCGATTGCTTAATTTATGTGATGCCCCAAATTAGGGGCACTTAGGCCGACATTACATCCATTTCCCCTACAATTTTTTTTTAAATTTCAAGAAAATAAATAAGTAAAAAAATAAAGGGTGTCCACAATTAAATTGCATCTTTTTAAAAAAGCTGTAACATTTTGATCTTTGGCTTATTTTTTATGAAATTTTTGGTAAGATGGCTTCAGCGTGTATTGTTTACACTGCGTGGGTTTCATTGTAAATTTTTTAATAGTTTTGAAAATGGAGTCAAAGGAACAGCGCGTGCACGAGAAAATTGTGCACACTCACCTCAAAAACCCATATCTTTCGCACCAAGCCAACGGAAAGATGTTGGGAATCCAACAATCTACTGTTTCTCGTGTCATAAAACGTTTCGGAGAACGTTTAACTGTCGATTGGAAGCAAGTGAGTGCAAGAAAAAGTATTTCGTACTACGTTGAAGATCACAGATGCACAAAACCACACTGTTGTATCATGGACGATAGAACATACGTAAAAGCGGACTTCAAACAAATTCCGGGAAACCAGTATGTGACCGCGAAAGACAAGTTCGATGTTTCAGAGTCCCTCAGGAAACAGCAAGTGTCGAAGTTAACAAAGAAATTCATGATTTGGCAGGCAATTTGTTCGTGCGGAAAACGGAGCAAGGCTTTGGTAACAACTACAACCGTAAATTTATTTTTTTTGTTTATTAATTTATTTGGTAAGGCTCAACCGAATTAACTTTACAGAGCCGAGGATTCTTGGTATACTATACAATACATCTTAAAAATATAGTCAAAAGGTACAACACAATAAACACTTTATCTTCCGCTATCCAAAAAGCCTCCTCCATCAGAACTGGAGCCGCTTCCAGTAGTTTCATTGTATGGCAAATTGTTGTACGCCAACGAGGGTCAGAGCGCGTCCATTGCAGCAATGGACGCAAAACGTGGTCAACACTCACACACTCATCACGAAACGGTTGCTTTCCAAAGTCGACGACGCATCGACCGAAAGAACTGCTGATGAAGAACAATGAGGAGGACCACACAATGGTTGCTGCCGAGAAAACAGCCGATCGCGTAGCACACATCAAGAGTGGTCTGCTTTTGTCGACAGTCGAGTGAACACTGCACAACAACCGTAAATGGCCAAGTCTACATGAATGAGTGCATGACGAAACGACTGCTTTCGTTTATCAAATCACACAACGTTCCTACTATTTTTTGGCCCAATCTAGCCTCTGCAAGGACGTTCTGGAGTGGTACAAGACGAATGGGTCAATTTCGTGCCGAAGGAACTTAATCCCCCAAACACACCGGAGTTGCGACCGATCGAAAGATACTGAGCTATAATGAAGCACGAACTCCGTAAGCATCCTAAAATTGTCACTATGGAGCAGGAAATGTTTAAATCATGGTTGAAAGCAGGGTAAAAAATGTCGTTCCAACCGTTGCACAAAACCTTATGGCTAGATAGAGCTGGAATAAGGGCGTAACAGCCTTTGTAAACAATGACTTCTATCGATGATTTTTAGGAACTCAAGGCACACCCACGCAAACCAACATAACCGTCGGGTAGGGGAACTCTTCCTCTACCCGATGGTGTTGTTGATTTGCGTTGGCAAGCCTTAACTTTCTAGAAATCATCAAAAGAAGTCATTGTATACAAAAGCTGTTACGCCCTAATTCCAGCTGTATCTAGATGAGTGGAATTTAGAAGAAAGTTAGGGCATTTGGATTTGGTTAATAAGTAGAGTGAAATAAAGATACGCAATCCAAGCTTATATTATATAGTATTACATTCCCTGAAAATGTTATGACAATCAGTTGAGAGACTTATTTTTGGCGAGTACTTCTAAGTGATGCAATTGAACCAACAATCAATTCGAAACTAACGATTTTAAATTGGCTCACTGCTTGACTAGCCTATTGGTCCCAAGCAAATCGATTAACGTATCCCATTCTAGTATAAATTCCAGTACTACACAATGTTTGTTTTGATTCGCTATGAAAGTTTGACAGATAAAATGAGGGGTTCGTGGATTTTTCTATGTTTCGAGGGGTGCATCGATTAGCTTGGGACCGAAGATAGTACCAGAGCTGAGCCAAAAAGTTGAGCTCGTTTCTTCGGGACCTTCTGGTCTTAGAGTTACCTCTATGATTGAACTGTGCACACCCTTTATAAAAAATAGTATGCAATTTAGTGAAATCCGTTTTCAAATCCGTTAATTCAAATCCGAAATAGACCCAAATGATGTTGTTTCATTACTAAGTGGGCCATGCTTTAGTGGTAATTAAGCCGAATACTCGCGGCTTACCCAGGGTTAGAAAGGTATATTATCGAAGGCTAGGATCAGAAGCTTGGGGTGAGGTTTCGTTGTCTCATCAGAGCGTTGTCGTCAGTATGAACGGTAGTGCGGTTCTAAATAGATCCGTCTGGAGTTCGACCGGTTAGTGGGCGACGATGAGACACATCGAGACGGGGTAACAAGACAAACAAAAAACGAATAAAGAGATACCCTATTCTTGTTCGCGGATTCAGGGTCACGATCAAATTAACAAAATAGTTCTTTTATCATAACTACTACAAATGTTTTCAAATAAATCTCTGAGCTCTAGGGCCAGTTTCATAAATTTGGCAAATTTTTGGATGATTCGAATCTTCTAACGGACCAGCTTGTTCTGGAATTCATGACACTTCTGGTTCTGGTACCGTAGTAGCTTTGGGAATTGAAGATTCCCATGTATCGAAAACTCTTGTACGTCCGAATATCATAAAATTCCAGATACTCTACTCAAATTTACTTTTGGATTTCTCTGAAGAGTTTCGAAAGTTATTACGTATAGATTTGAATGTTTCAAATTCTTTGCCCAAATCCCAATTAATAAATTCCCGGGTTTTCCTGTTTTCCCAGTTCAGTTAGCGAACGTTTGGTGTATACATTCATATTAAGCATAAAACCAAATGCGATTAAGCCGAAGAGATCGCTAGGTTAAATGGGTCATTACTAGCACAGCAGCATTTTTTCTGAATCTTGAATTTAGATGTGCGTTCGAAGTCTTCAAAAGTCGCTAAAAAATTTTACAGAATTTTATTCGATTACGCGGTACCGGATTGTTCTTTGTCTTCATTGGGGAATTCCGAGATCTGTAGGCGCTCTATCCACGAATACGGTGAGAGATTTTGGTGTTCTTAGGCCTGATTATGACGCGCTTGGTGAAGATGGCGTATCGCATGAAGAGCAACTGTACCCGAACAGTGGCGGTGTTTCTTCTTCACTACTTCTCTGGCTGGAGGGCTCTTGCAGGCAGCCTTGGTAGCAAGCTGCTTGTGGGAAACCTTCCCTCCGGTCCGCATACCATCTGCGTGATGAACGATACGAACACGTCCGAAGTTCGAATGGAAATGCGGCTTCAGCTTGTTTTATTTGGTACCAACTATTTGATGTCTCTGTTAGGAAAGACACCTTGTGGGTCTACGCAAATGTATGGGAAAATTTGATGCTTGCAGTTTTCGTTAAATTTAATAGTTCTTTCACTTTTTTCACTATTTGCACTATATGCCAAAAAATTCCTGGACAAATTACCCGGTGAAAGGTATATTGCATGGCACATTTCCAGTGGCGTCCCGTAACTTCACGTTTTACCTGTGCACCAACTTTCAAAACCAGATTTAATGCCATATTCATACTCGAATCGGATGAAAATACACTTAATCTTCTAGTTTACTCGATATCTCTCGAGTTGGTGCACAGGTACATTGAGGTTAAGGAAACGCCACTGCATATTTCACATTAATACTTTGGAAAATTATGCGTTTGAAAACACCCCCCTTTTTCGATACATGCTTGATTTTCGATTTCTTAAAGTGAACTCCAGTATAGTAAAGAAAGATGTAGCCCTACGTCAAAAATCTTCTTGTGACATCACATTGAAAACTAATTCTGCTATCAGTGAGAGCAAACTGAAAACTCAATTTGATGTACATTTTTCCTGTTGATAACAAAACGTAACGTAAGTATTCAATCTGATGTTCTGATAAGGCAATGAAAAAAGAACTGTAACAACATATTTTTGAAGAGCAAATGTACAGCAAAATGAACACAAAATTTGTCAATCGCGTGAACTTCAGTTTAATGTTGATATCAAAATTTAATTGCTCCCCCTAAAGTGCCTACGTGGTTTATGAACAGCCCCAAACTCATATTTGATTCATTAAGGAAGTTTTCCTTCTTTTTTAACATGAACAGTTCTTTGGAGTTCTACTGTTCTCGTTTGATTTTGATTTTGAATTTGATGAGAAATGAAAATTTAATAATTTTAACATTTTTCCCTCATGTAAATTACATATTTTTCC